GGGGGAATCCTTTCACAATATACTCATATATCAAATCAGTATGACATACAACTTAAATATCTTACAAGTTTGTCAATTATACCTCAATAAAGCTAAAAAAAATACAAAAAACAAAAACAAAAACAAACAAAAGAAAGAAATAAGGCAGGTCTAAAGAAAATGAAACAGCATCTTTAAAATGCTGAAAGAAAATACAAACCCAGAATTCTATATACTACTAGTGAAAATGTCTTTTCAAAAATGAAGGCAGTCCCGGCTCAGCGGTTGAGCATCCACCTAGGATCCAGGAGATCACGGTTCGATTCCTGGTCAGGGCACATGCCCGGGCTTTGGGCTTGATCCCCAGCCGGGGAGTGCAGGAGGCAGCTGATCAATGACTCTCATCATTGATGTTTCTATCTCTGAAATCAATAAAGATATATTTTTTTTTAAAAATGAAGGCAAAAATTAAGACTTTTTTAGATTAAGAAATGCCAAAAGAATTTATTTCCTGTAGATCTATACTATAAAAAATGTTAAAAGACTTTTTTGACAGGAAGAATGCCAGAAATATGTGAGTAAATATAAAATAGTTTCTCTCATTTTAATTCCTTAAAAAGACAGTGACTGTTTAAAGCAAAAAGAATCCCAATGTATTGTGGGATTTGTAACAAGGTAAAAGTAAAATGTTTGAAACTAAAGGATCAGAGGAGGAAAATAAAGTATATTGCTGTAAAGGTCTTACACTATACAGGTACTGGTACATTATTATTTGAGGTAGGCTGTGATAAGTTAAAGATGAATACTGTAAATTCTAGAGCAACCACTTAAAATAGAGGTATAATTAATAAATTAATAATGGAGATTAAAGGGAACCCAAAAAATTTTAATTCAAAAGAAGGCAGGAAGAGGCGAAAACAGAATAAAGACTAGATGGAACAAATAATAGTAAGATGGTAGATTTAAACCCAACCATATTTATAATTATATCAAATGTAAATGGTCTAAACACTTTAGTTAAAAGGCAGGGATTATCAGATTGGCTAAAAATAATCAAGACTTAACTACATATTATCTACCAAGCACCCATTATTTTTGTTGTTGTAAATATGTCTTTATTAATTTTTAAAGAGACAGGAAGGGAGAGGGACAGAGAGAGAAACATTATCAATCAGCTGCCTCCTGCACGCCCCCTACTGGGGATTGAGCCTGCAACACTGGCATGTGCCCTAACCGGGAATAGAACCAGTGATCTCTTGGTTCCTGGGTCGATGTTCAACCGCTGAGCCACACTGGCCAGGCCCAAATACCCATTTTAAATATAACGATAAAGATAGGCTAAAGACAGGCTAAATATAAAAAGATTGGGAAAAGGTATATTGTGCAAACACTGATTTTTTAAAAAGTTGAAGTGGTTACATTAGTATCAGACAAGGTAAATGTTAGAACAAGAAATAGTACCAGTATTACAAATCTTGTCTCCAATTGTAAAAACTTAGGAGAGGCAGAAAACAGTTCAGATTTGATCAAATACTGAAAACACAGTATTTCAGGCTGAAACCCTGAATCATCACCAGAAATGCATGTGGCCATAATAGCTAGAGGCACTTCTTACCACACTGCCCCTAGAAAGACAGTGCAAATCTTAACTAAAAACTTGAGGGAGGCTTCTGAGAAATGTGAGCCACCCTGGTATTACAGGAACAGTCTCTGGATTCTGCACATTCTATGTCACCGTTGCAGTCATTTAAACATTTGGCAACAACAGGATCCATTACTATTTGAAAGGATACAGAGAATATATTTTTAGAATATTATTTTTATAGAGTGAAACTTGAATGTCTATGTGAATATTATAAAGTGAAACCAAATTTCTTAATCCAAAATGCAATTCCTGGTTAGGTACCAATTTCAAGTATATAACCTGAGCCCAGGAAGCAATATCCTTTGCAAGAAGCTGAATTTATGGTAATCAAAATTTTAAGACACCATAATGAAAAACAAGTCATATCCATAGATTTCCTGGAACCTACTTTGAGAAAATTTAGAAATGGGTGCATTCAAAGGTTTGATTTTAACAGACTTTTAAAATGAAAACTTTATTTTCCAAAAAATGACACGGTTTCTCCTCCAAGCAGCTTGGTTACCCCCTCCGTCCCCGCCCAGAAGAAAAGCTCTTCCTCCCAGGGGCCTGGAGGGCAGCCTATTAGCATCTGAATGTCCACAATGTGCCTACACTTTTATTTAATATATTATCTCAAGTAATCCTCATCAGAACCCTAATGAAGCAGAGGTATACTTATTCCCAAGACACATTTCTTGGTAGGCAGTTTCCTTATTGGAAAAATAAGAAAAGTAAACGGAGTGATGTTTAAATTTCCCCCCAGCTTTAATATCCCACGGCTCTATAAAAAATTCTGGAGTCTATTCCTGAGAAGCTTACAATTAAAAACTGTTAAAGACAACTAAGTAATAATTTTAGGCATCAGAAAAAAGTGCAAATAACCTCCACCAAGCAAAAATGATCCACAGAAACTGGACGGTGAACAGCTCTGAGAATCGGGTTAGACCTTAGTCAGCTAGGAGGGAAGATAAGGAACATACTAGGGATGGGGAAACAGAGGAAAGACAGAATTTTTTATTAACCAAAACTGAGTTGGTAGTTGTTGCTGAAATGGTAACTCGGTTCCATCAGTTCCTCTAGGAAAAGAGAACAAATGTAAAGACACACACCTAGAATTGCTGAACCAGATGTCTTCCTTCCAGCAGACCATTTAAACAAGGCTCAGATGACCAGCCATAAACAGTTTTTAGCAGCTACATGTAAAATGACTAATGAATTATACAGATTTTAAATCAATTACTTTAAGAAAAGCTTCTATGTGACAGTTTCGGGGTAGCAGCAGTAGTGCCCAGACTTCCTTCGTTGTGCATGGTGGCCACTTGAAAACATGGCACCCAGTCGACCTCAAGTCAGGCTGGTTCTGACACTAAGGCCTGGTGTTATACTCTTCCCAGCCGAGAAAGGTCTCCAGAGGTGCTGGGGGCATCTTATACCTGTGTCTTCCTCCTCAACTTCACCCAAGTTCCACCACATCTCTGACAAGTTAGCTGGGGCCTGGCGTACTGACTGAACAAGCAGGATGTGTCCTGTCTCCAGTCCTCTAACTCCACCGTCGCAGCCCTGCCCAGGCTGAGAAATAGACTACCCTGCCTTTTATAAAGGTCCGCCCTTCAGGAAGGCTGCTGCAGTCAGCCAGCCTGTGCCTCCTGCCAGCTGCATGTCTGCGCCACCCCACTGTCACTACTAACTGGACCACCCTCCAGCTGGCTCCTCTACCCCATGCATTCTGGTCCTGGATGCCATCTCTGCCACAGGGCTACCTTGTGGCTTCAGTAACCACTCTGGGGCCCCTTGTTGCCTCCACAGCCTACTCCTACTTCCTGCCTTTGCTGCTTCCTGCCCCACCCCCTCACCCCGCCCTTCACCCACCCCTCATCGATTGGTATGGTCCCTCTTTTTTGTCTCGTTCCAAACTAAGGCTGCCTTGGCCGTGCTGGACTACATTCAGAGTGAGAATCCAGGCAGTTACCTAATATCTGTCTCAGTGTCCTTGTCTGTAAAACAGGGGTAATACTACTACTGTATACTTCACAGGGTTGGTATGAATAATAAATGAGCTCACAAAGTCTTTGAAACAGGGCCTGGTCCATAATAAGCACTCCCACTGCTAATGTGTCTCTTGTTTTTCCAGGTCAAGTGATGGCTGCAGCTTTACCTCCTTCCCCGAGCTTCCCACGACGGGCAAGGGCAAGCACATTTGGAACTCATCCTATCTCTCCTGGGTATAAATAAACAGTGACTTAAAGAAGCAGCCCTGGGAACCCACCCCCACACTCTGCATTCCCTAATCTACAGGAACTGCTCTGGCTCAAGCTGTTCTGAGGGTGGAGCCATTTGACTTAAAAATCTAATGTTCTCTACAAATCATTCACAGTGACCAATATTCTAATTCAATGCAAAATGCTGCTAATATTTAATAACCTTGGGTGTAAAATGTTATGGTATGTTGCAAATGTATTTATCTCTGGTTCCAGTCATTCATTTCCTTCTGGCTCAATGATTCACAGTTAGCATGTTACACTGTTATATTTCCACAGCAGCTGTTTAGTGTACTAAAGAACTCGGTGCCAAGGAGGGCAGAACAGCAGGCAAACAGAGCAAAAGCATGAGCGTTCCAAGTCTGAGACCACCAACCGCATGAGGGGGCAGATCACTCCACCTTTCTGAGGCACTTGCTTGTACGTGAAATCAGGATAAAGTGAACCATAATTACCATGCGGGGCGTAGTAAGGGCCACACGTCTCTCTCAAACTAAACTGCAAACAATGTGAAGGTTGTGGAGATGGGGAGGTCTATGAGATAACGGCTTAAGTGGAAGGCGATGCTTAATGTGAATGCTGTTTAGTAAATGGAGACCTTCTGATGGTGAAAAAGTGAAGATAGCCTTTGAGTATTAAAAACAGTGATAAAGACTCATGACTAAAGGATGGAAGCCCTTCCACGGGAGACATCTGAAAAGGGGTCTAGAAAGACTCATGCAAGCCAAGGACTTAAAATTACTGCCTCTTGAAACAAGATGGTAAAGTTCTTTTACATTCTCCAAAGTAACATAGTGTACAAATAACAACCAAAAACATTTTATAGAAAATTTGAAATTACTTAAAGGCCTTTATACAAAACTTTTGAAGTTTAGTCTCAACAAGATGCCTTTTGCAATGCACACACCCTACAACTGTATCCTGAGGATGACCTACAAGACGACAGTGGCCACGAGGAAAATAAAAATAACAACTCACTCTTCACTAATGACGACTAACGTTCCACATCTGGACAGAACATAAACTAGTAACATTTTAAAAAACTCTAACACCAAACAAGAAGTCAGACAAAGAAAGTCAATCACGACACCACTCTTGTGTCTTCTGAGTGACCACAAAGTGAGGAGAAAGTAACTTACCTCTATGGCAAAGATGCCTTTGTCACGCCCATACAATTTCATCTCTTCCGGAAAGTGCTGGAAAGCATTTACGTACGGGATATGGCCCTCTTCAACAAATCTATGTTTTTAAAAGGAAAGAGTTTCAATAAGAGATATGTGCTGATTCAGCAAAGTAATCGAAAGAGTGGACAATGTTGTATTTCAAAGACAAGGTAAGAATCAGTTGAGTTGTGTCATCATATTTTTAAGGTGATAAACCTGAAAATACCTATTATCCTCTGTACCCATGTGTGGAGAAAACAGCTAGCCAATTATCTAATGATCTCTTGAATTTCTGATTGAATAGATGAACGTTTCTCGGAAGCATACATCCTGTTTGTCACTTGCCCACGAGGCTTGAGGGCACAGCATTCCCTCTCTCCCATCTCCCTTGCAGGGCGGGCTCCTACTCGTCTTTTAAGTCCCTTCTTTAGGGAGACCTTCCTTGATCCCCATTTTCCTTGTTAGAGCACCTCCCATGGCTATCCCTGTCCCCCACCTGTGACAGTGCCTGGCAGATGACTGTTAGAACAATGAAGGGAAGGGACCCTGCCCATTTGCTTACCACTCCATCCCAATGTCTGGTACACAGTAGCTGATCAAATATTTTTGAATAAATTATTGAGTTTGAAGAAAATAGCACATATATAAAAATGAACACGTATACCTATTTATTTATAATTAATACATTAATTCAATAGAAATTTATGGAGTACTATATACCTAGCACTATTCTAGGCTGTGGGGCTACAGCAGTGAACAAAACAGGTTCCTAAGAAGTTTACATTCTAGCCCGGCCGGGCGTAGCTCAGCGGTTGAGCGTCGACCTAGGATCCAGGCGATCGGGGTTCGATTCCCGGTCAGGGCACATGCCCGGGTTGTGGGCTTGATCAATGACTCTCTCCTCATTGATGTTTCTATCATTCTATCCCTCTCCCTTCCTCTCTCTGAAATCAATAAAGATATATTAAAAAAAAAAAAAAAAGTTTATATTCTAGTGAAAAGAGAAAGATTACCAACAAGACAAACAAATGAAATGGTAGAAAAAATGGTAAAGAGACCAATAAAGTAGGAAAGAACAGAGAATGAGAAACGGGGGCATTACAACCTGTTAAAAGAAAATAAATCTATATATATAAGATTTTTTAAATAAGAAAATTGTTAAGGAAAGTAAGATAAAGATGGAATAAATTAGCATAATAAATATTTTGCCTCAAAGTCTGTTTTTGGTAGTTAGTGGTTGAAGACCAATACTGATTCAACTTTAATTCCAAATTAAAAATGTGATTTACCTTTTTAGTCTCCTGAAAGATGAGAATTAACGTAAATGTTATGTAAAAATGATTTTTTATGAAGCTTAATGATGAAATAGGGTTCATTAGAGCAGTCCTACCGGGAAACCCATCTAGGCTTCCATTAGTTATGTAAAGTATCTGTGCACAGCAGTCAGTATTCATATTATTTTGGAACTACTTTTTTTATATATTTAATATATTTTTTTATACAGGATATATTGCATGCTTATCACTTTTATAACGATCTAGTATTCCATGACATTAATATATTCATACTTTATTCCCCTATCTGAAATATATCTATATGTATGTACAAGCCGGCACCGTATGAAGCACCAGGAGCTCAGGGATAAACAAGACGTGCAGAGCCCCCGCCATGACGCAGCAGGTCGGACAGGCAGCCTGCAGGTGAGTCGCGCCCCAGGAGCACCCAGCGCTGTGGGAGCAGAGGAAGGAATGAGAGACCTGCCCGGGGGAAAGAGACGTGTGCACATAGCAGTTCTCGGGCACCTGGGGTTTTAACAACTTTCACCATTTATAAATACTGCTGCTCTTTACCTCTTTCCAAAGTATTTTTTCTTTTTGAATTTGAATTTCCTTTTAGGAAAAATATATACTTTTCAAAAAATATATACTTTTCCAGTCAAAGTTCTGAACAACCACCTGTTTCCCTGGTTAAGTATGACCAGGTGGGTTTTGGATCAATCCAAGGAACTGACAGAGGAATGCCACAGACTAAAACACTCCCACCCCACAGACCACTGCTCTAGCCATGTCCCCTGGAAACACTGTCTCTATTTTAACTTTATTATACTTTTCAAAAGTTTCAGTCTGTGACACCGGAAATTTAACAAACTGGTTCTTCACCGCAGATGACGTGCGAAGCGCTGCATTAGAGTTAGGTCGGGTCTACCTGCAAAACACACCTGCACCCACTCACCCGGTTCCACTTCTATCACCACCACCGCAGTCCCAGCCCATCTCCTTCCTGAAGTGTAGCGAAGACCACGTGGTCTCCCTGGAACCCGCCTCCCACAGGCGCCTGATGACCAGGTCTGCCTCTCCTGCTCACCTTCCAGGGGCTTACTTTACCATCCCACTCCTAGTGAGCATGGGGTCCTTTTGGAGTGAGGAATAGGTCATGGAAATAGAGAGAGATGGTTTCACAACCTTGTAAATACCCTCAAAACCATGGAATTGAACTTTAAAAGGGTGGATTTTATTGTATATGAATTATATCTCAACTTAAAAAGTCCAAACTCCCAACTTGGCTTACAAAGATCTACCTGTGGCTTCTGCTTAGTAGGTCCCCGCCCTCACCCCCTGACTCCTTCACATTCCCTTACTCCGCACACCAGCTCCTCTGCTCCCTGATCGTACGAACTTTAGGGCTTGGCACCAGCCACCTCCCTCCACCTCCAACGCTGGTGCTTCTGATATTCACCTGCTGGCTCTACTTTCATCGCACGTGCAGCTGAGACCCCACCTTCCCAGGGAGGCCATCCCCAGCACCCGCCTAGCAGCCACCTAGTCATCCTCTGTCAACCAACCTCAGTCTTCCGCACAGCACCTCACTGCCTGATCACTGCTCACGTATTTACATATCTGCTCTGTTCCCTCTCGTCTTGAACTTCACAAGAGCAGGACTTGATCTCTATGGCATCTCAAGGAAAACACCTGCATATAATCGATATTCAGTAAACATTTGTGGAATGAATACATGTTGGCTTTTTTTTTTAAGATTATTTTTTTTAATCCTCACTAGAGGATACTTTCTCCATTGCTTTTCAGAGAGAGTGAAAGGGAGACAGAAACATCGATGTGAGAGACACATCCATTGGTTGCCTCCCGCACTCACCATGACTGGGGCCAGGAATAGAGCCTGCAACCGAAGTATAGGCCCCGGGCCAGAATCGAACCTAGGACCCTTCAGTCTGTGGGCGGACACTCTAACCACTGAGCCAAACCAGCTAGGGCTATGTTGGCTATTTTTTCTTATTACTGTTACTGCTAGGTAGGCAGGGTCTTTAAAGGCTTTTTAAAAAAATTAACATCAGAGAGAGGAAGGGAGAGGGAGAGACAGAAACATCAGTGATGAGAGAGAACCAATTGTCTGCCTCCTGCACGCCCCCTGCTGGGGATCAAGCCCAAAACCCTGGCATGTGCTGTCACTGGGAATTGAACCACGATCTCCTGATTCACGGGTGGACTCTCAACCACTAAGCAACACCGGCCGGGCTTAAGGGTTAATTTAAGGGTTATGAATTTATCCTGAGGACCATGGATGCTGCTAAAGGATTTAAACAGGGAGGCATGTAGGATCAGTATAAGATATATAGGTATTGTAGCCAGGCCCATCATGTAATCTCTTCAAATCAATGTTCTTTAAATATTTTTTCAAAGTTTGGCAGTAGTTCTCAATTTAGCATCTATAGGAATCTCTTGGAGGGCTTCTTTACAGAGATTGCCATCCCATCCCCAGAGTTTCTGGTCCAGAAGGTTAGAATGGCCCAAAGATCTGTATTTCTCACAGGTTCCCAGGTGACGCAGCTGGTCAGAGGACCACACTTTGCTAATATGGACTCAGAGCTTTTTCACTGAGAAGAGCAGGGAAAGGGGACATTCTCTTTTCCTATTACTTCAAGCATTTAAGCTCTGTCCCCAAATTTGTGTGTGCACGGAGCAAAATAGAAGCCCTCCAGCTAGAGATTCAATCTCCTTGAAGGTGCAGTAAATTCCCCTTGGAGGAAGAGGAGGAAGGAGGGGAGGGCGAGGGAAGAGAGGGAGACAAAGGTGTAGGGTCTCACCCTCAAGCTCCCAACCACATACAATATTCTCACTGAGAAGAATTTCAGGTAAAGGTGTTTTCTCCCTCTCATTAGATTTCTAGGAGGGCTTTGTTATCCTCTCACATACTGCCCTGGGTAGGGTGGCCCTTTATCCAGCGTCACTGACATGATTAGGTGGCTGTGTCTGTAAGGTCCCTCTGGTTATGGAGGAAATGGAGAGAGTGGCACAGGCTCAGCTGGGCAGTTGCTAAGAAATCCAGGTTGAGACAGAGACGGAGGGAATGGGGACAAAGAGAGGAAGTTTCAAGAGTTGCTGTGCCAGTGTGACCAACAGGACGCATGTGCAGACGAGGAAGGGCCAAGGGTGGTTCCTTGGCTCTGGACAGGACAAGGGGGCATGGTATTTATGAGGACAGAAAACACTGGGCAGGGAAGGAGCAGGTTGAGATGAAAGATGAGCCTCGTTTAGTCCTGCCGATCTCAAGATATCGTAGAGACATCCGGGAGTGTCCAGTAAGCAGCTGTACATACAATGTCCACGGGTCTGGCCCTCAGTGAACAAGTCTGGGCTGGAGACAGAACCTTGGGAGTCATCATCCAGAGACGGTAATTACAGCCTTGGGAGGAGATGAGCTCACCCAGTGAGGGCACTCGGAGCAAGATGTGGCTTCAACTCAACAGTTAAACCCCCTGAATCACAGATGATCAGCACGCAGAGCTCATCACATTTGAGAAGAGCCTTGTTATTTGGATGATGTGGCCTAGTTCAAAGGTACTAACCTCGTTCACTGGAGGCATTTTATTTAATCAGAAGGCCTAGTGCCAAGGATGGAGGAGGAGGGAGGCAGAAGGATGACGGCAACTGGTGCCGAGCCTCACCATGCGCCAGGCCCTGATTTGCAGGGTGTCAGATGGGACTGATGGGAAGTGGCTGCACCCAGGGAGGTAGATGTTATTGTCCCCGCTTTACCAATGAGGAAACAGAGGCAGAGAGAAATTAAATTTCAATTAAAACTCTCAAAGTCAGGTCACATACAAGCAACAGAGCCCGGAGCATGGTTCTGGACGTGTGCTCTTACTCTACACACTGATTAAACCCAATGTTATTAATTAGAATGCATAAGCAAGGGGAAAGTTAATACATTAATGATCTGGCATATTTTCTGTTTAATAAGAAATTCTTATGCACTATGCCGTAATTTACTCATTAAACACAGAACCCTGTCGATTACCTTGAAAAATGTAAATGCCAACTACTACAGAATAGGTACTTCCAACAGTTTTGTCTCCAATGTTACTGTATAAACACAGACACCCTGTGCTTACCTCTTGTGCAACTACATTAATAACCATTTGCCAGTGTAAAGGTCATCTGTTCATCTCCCCGAGAAATAAAACCACTACTTAAATGTCACTTTTCATCTTCAAAGCACCTCACTCACAGTTGGTAATTAACTCCCCAGCACCCCCATAAGGCAGGTACTATTCCTTCCACTACACGATACGGAAACCAAGGTGAATTTCTAGCCCAGGGAAGTGTCAACTTCAGAAGAGAACTCAGGCACCCAGTCTTTCCAGCCCCTTCCCCAATTTAAGCCTCCTGTACCATTCCAGGTATCCCAAGGCTGGGCCCTAGTTCACACGGGCAGTCAGCAAACATCCCAGAGGCCTGGCTTACCTCAGGAGGTCGGAAAGAGTGACTGTCTCTCTTTGCCACAGCAGCGACAGGTAGCAGAAAGCAAGCGTCGCCGGCACAGTCATCTTCACAATCCCCTTCCCCTTGCGCAGAGAATATGCAACTCCATCAAGGGATCCAGAGCAGACGGAGGCCATTTCTTAGGGGATAGATGGAGATTTTTGTAAAGTGCAAGCAACTAGTTAGGACAAGCAGAAAAGTAACAAAATCCAAAGAGGCATTTTAAAAATCTTAAATTCAGGTTGTAATGGATAAAATCTTTATAAAGAGCAATTTGGCAATGAAGCCATGTCGGTGTAAGAGGAAACTGGCCCAAAAGGTGACTGTCAGTTCTTTGTGGGAGTTGGATGAACTTGGATACTAAAGAGGGATTTGACCTGTCTGAATATTTTTATAGAGAACATGAACAATTTTTCAAATAAATAAAAGGGTACACAATTACAAAGCAAAGAATGTCTCTCCTCTGCGAGGCTCTGCAAACACTGGCCAGGGCGGAACCCCCTCCCCGTCCCATCCTCCGGCATCCTCTGCCCCGGGGATTGGTTCTGCTCACTCGCTCACTCAGCACTTACTCATCGCACTCTGTGCCCGGTCCAGGTCTGGGGGAGGGATAGTGGACAGGGTCTCATCTCTGTTGGAACTTACATTCCAGTAATGGGAGATGGTCAATAAACAAAAGAAAATTACAACTGGCAGATGGTGGTAAATGCTACATAGAGAAACAGCAATGGAGGGGCACACAGAGATAGCGATGGGAAGGGAAGAGACTGCTCTTGTACATGGGGGGGGGGTCAGAGGAGCCTCTGGGAAGGTGACATCTGAGCACACCTGAACAGATTCAGACAGAAGTCCTGAGGCTCTCGGGGAGACCACCAAGTGCGCCAGCAGGAGTGAACTTGAAGGACAGCAAGAAAGCAGTGGGCTGAGCGCACCGTGGGTGAATGGAAGTGGGAGATGACATGGGGTGAATGAGACAGCGTATTATGTGAGGCTCTGCAGGTTGCGTCTGTACTTTGGATTTTATTCTATGATGGTATGGTAAGAGGATTCTGGAGACTGTTAAACGAGAGCAACACGTGTGTTTTTATAAAGGCCCCTCTGGCTGCTGTTCAAGGTCTGGGGGAGTGATAGTGGGGGGTTACAGGAGGGTGGGAGTGGACCCAGGACACCACTATCCCAGGAGAGCCGAGGGACTGGAGCAGCAGCATTGCAGGTGGTGGGAACAGCTGGATTCTGAACATGTTTTGAAGAGTCAAAGCTTTCGCTAAAGGCCTGGGTGTGAAATATGAGAGAAAAAGTGAAGACGAGTGTGCTTCTAAGGTTTTTGACTGAACAATGAGAACAGAGGAGCCATTTATTGAGACCAGGGAGATGGCAAAAGAGCAGGTTTGATGGGATAAACCAGGTATCAGGAGTGCACATGGTGAGTGAAACAAGTATTAAATACACAAAAGTATGAAGTGGGCAACTGAGTATAAAAACCTGTAGCTTAGAGGAAAGCTGGGTTAGAGGCAGGAAGTGCGGTAGTCAGGAGGCAGCTGGTGTTTAAAGCCAGAAGTGAGGATACATAGAAAGCAAGACTAGGGATGACCCCAAGACGCCACACTTTCTTGGACAAAAACTCTCCAAGTTATTCCTCCAAAACCGCTTTCCCAAACTTGTGGGCCCTTCCCTCACTGCCTTGGTCAGTAACTGAGCTCTCCTTGTTCCTGTGCACTTACTGTCCGCTCCTCCCACCACCATCTCAGCACCTTGAAGGCAGGCAGCCTGCTCACCAGTGTGCCCAGCGCGCAGAACAGGCCCGAGCACGGAGCAGGAACCCAACAATACTTGGTGAAAACAGATCTTGCGGTTCTACCTCTAAGATGTTCATCCTAGTGAAATGATTCTCAAATGTGCGAAGATCCAGGGTGAAGGCCTGTTGTGGCAGCTCTGCTTATGTGGGAAAAAGGTAAACCCCGCCCCCCAAAGAAAGATGAGCCCAAGAATAAACAACGTGGAAAGGAGACAAGAGCAGTAATGTTTTAGAAGCTGGGAAGCACATGGACAAGTACTCGCTACCTCAGCAGTCCTGAGAGCTGCGGTCAAAGCCAGGAGCAGGGAGAGCCAACCACCACTCTACCTCTGCCCTGGGGACCTCTAAAGCAGGCTCAGGAATTGGTTAAACCAGGCGCCCTGGACACGGGGTGAGGGTTGGACTAACCCCAGGAGGATTGCTGGGAAACCTGACTGAGAAGCAGTAGACATTCAGATTCCCACCCCAGCGCCATGCAGCCAATTGACTGTCCGCCCCAATCCTGGCAGAAAAGTGGACGTTTCTCCTCTAGGGAGAGTAAAAGGGAGGGTCTCTGGACTAGGGACCCTGAGTCACACACACAGTTGAGAGCAGGGATATCTTACAGAAAACAGGAGGAGTGAAAGTTTCACACATGAAGCCTTGAGACAACCCCCACTCCCTGGGGCCCTCTTCTTCCCGCCCACTTCCCAGAACAGCCAGCATTACACCCTCCAACCAGAGGACTCCAAGAGATTTCTGTGCAAAATCTGATCAGCTCCAGGGAAAAGATTTCAAGATGATAATTTGGGAGATTCACTAAGAAAATAACCCAGCTAGATCACCCTCTCACCAGAGCAGAGCTGACTACACTCGCCATGGGTACAAAGTTTCAAATCACCTTTTTAGTCTCCACTCCTAAACAGGACCAGTCACCTCGGGCTCACGAACACTGAAGAAGGCCTCTAACAGTCACACATAGCTTTACAAGGATGCATCTGAGAACACCACGGAGGGCACTTACACAAACCTGGACGGTATTCCGTCCACTGCACACCTAGACGTGCTGGGGCAGGGGGAGGGCGGCACCCATGGAGGGGAGGAGATCTCAGCAGGAAGAGGGAGAAGGGAGGGAAGAGAAAGGCAGAGCAGAGATCAAAAGAGACCCAGAGAGATTAAAGCTTGAGACAAGAAATGAAAGGGAGAGACACAGAGCCTGAGAGGGAGAGATAGAAATGAGACAGGGAGGAGGGGGAGAGAGAGAGAAAAGCAAGGAAGAGAAGGGAGTCTGTGTGCAGTTGTGCATGCAGGGGGAGTGGGCTGGGCTCCCTCCTCCCCAGCGGGTCTTCCCTTCCCCCCACCTCCTGGTCTCAGCCTCTGCAGGTGCAGGGCAAGTTGACAGCATGTGGAGCCGGCCCCTCCATCTGAACCACCCAGAGCTAGAAGTGAACTCAGTATCAGTGGGGGCCAGCCCCTCTTTCCCACCCTGCAAACCCTTTTCTTATAATCCATTACAACCTATGGGACTGCGGTGTATATGTGGTCGCCCAGTCACCCAAACGTCGTTATGGGGCCCATGACTGTATAAAAAGCAGAGGTTGAAATAATCAAATCGGGGAAAATATCATTAGCATCCTCAGCAAAATAAGATGCTCCACAAAAATGAGGGAATAAACCAGAAAAGAAGATGAAATGGGACCCGGGAAATAAGGAATTTAACGAAGGAGAGGTGACAGAACAGTAGAGATCAGAAAGACGGCGGGCCATAGGCCAGAGAACACCAGCCTGGACCGGGGCCCGTCAGAGGCTGCAGAGTCCTCCAGAAGATGAAACTGACGGAACCCCTACAGAATGGGGAGGCTTTTTCAGAACTGGAAGTGTGAAGACACATTAGTGATAAACCACAGAACACTAATAAACAGAAAACTAAACACAGACGACAACACCACCACCAGAAACGCCAGAGGACACACGGAATGTGTAACCACGGAAGTTATGCGGCTCAGTTCTGAGTAGCACTTAAACACTTACAATAACTTAAGCAATAAATATTGATCTAGTAAAAATTGTAATTATACTGGGGGGACAGAGAATGAAAACGAGGCACAAGAGGGAGTGGGGGGCAGCGGGAGAGCGCCTCTGGGAGCAGGCCATTTAGGGGAAACTGACTACAATTTATTTTTACTTTTACAAATTTCTTATAACAAGCTTTATAAATATATTTGAATTATATGCATGCAGAATTTTGATTAAAATGTACAGAATGAGGACATAGTTCAGTGTTTTGCAAAAACAGAGTAAGAGAACCTCCCCCTCCCTCTACGCACAGGACGAAACTCAGGACCGACCTTTGACAGCAACAGTGGTTACTTCCTGGTGGCACACAACTGCTAACTTCATTTTCTTTGTGATTGTCTGTATTTTATAGTTTTGTAACAGGCATTATGTTAATAGTGACTTTTTTTTTAATCCCCACCCGAGGATACTTTTTCTACTGCTTTTCAGAGAGAGTGGACGGGA